CTTATCGAATTTTTTTAAATATTGAAAAAAAGGGGCGAAAAATTTTGTCCGAGTTAAGCCAAATCCGACTTATCGAGAGTGACTATGTATACATTCTACGAATCATTATTTCCCGAATTTATTACAACAGATTCAGATGAGGAAGTTATATTAACCAAGTTTTCTGATCAAAATATGGAGAATACCCTGATTGATCTAAATGAATATTACGATTCAGAATACTCTGAAACGGAGTCTGAATCTAGCGATTCTGAGACTGAGTCTGAATTTAGCGATTCTGAAGTGGATGTATCTCTCCCAGTTATAAGTGGAATAATACAAGATAATAGCGGAGCTAATGTCGAGACACATAATATCGATTTTATTTCTGCATTTGATGATTATATCAAAGAGACTGGCAAGAATATTCCTAATCATTCATCGTGGATTATAAATAATTTTATTTGATGTCGAAGAATGGGTAAATAATTATTAGTTGTTTTTTTTGGATAAAGTTATAATGTATAATATAAATTATATTACAAGATGGCATATGTAAAATGTAAATTCATGAAGAGGGACACGAGCCTTACTTGGTTAAGGCATTAATTGATACATCGTCGGCCGAAAACATTATTAGAAAAAGCTTAGTCGATAAACTTGGAATAAAACATAGCGACCCACCAAAATATATTAAAAGGAAAATGAAGGGTGCTGTAGGTGTCGTGGAAAGCCTTGAATTATCTTTTCGATTTAAGGATAAGGATAAATTAGTATCTGGTAGTGATGAAGTTTTAAACGATTTTGTAGTCTGCAAAGAATCTAAAGCTGATCTTGTATTAGGAATGCCATGGTTGTGGTTGCGTGAAACAAAAATCGATCCTCATGGTAAAAGAATTTCAATCTATGTGGAGTTATACCATTCTGCAAGAATAGCGCCAGCCCCACTAAAAATGATCGATCTAGGTCTGATTTACAAATAAATGAGATCGCAAATACAATTAACAAAATTCTCTCAGATGTCGAAAATCATAAGCACCGAAAGAGACGTCACGGAATATTTCACAACACACCTCCTGCACCTCTATTACCCAGAAGAATGGATGACAATGTTTCCAAACATAGCAAAGCTACCAAGAACAAGAAATACCCTAAAGTAGATTTAGGCGATGGATGTGGAAATCTTTCAATCAAAACGCACCTCAATAATATTGGAAGTCGGTTTATTCTATAGAAAATGATATAGAGTATGGAATTTTTGAAAAACTTCGTATTATTGAGTATGAACTAAGTTGTATAAATAAAGCAAAGCAACCGTGGATAAAATCTGAGACTAATTCATCCAGCTCTGATTCAGAATCCACAGGTTCAGACTGGTATGATCTCAATCCAATAAAATCCCGAAAGAATCGTGTTCATATTAGCGAAGCTAGCAAGGCTAAAAAGAAAAAGGTTGTCTCTCTTATTCGAAAACATCGTAGAAATAAGCTTCGTAATAAGGCCTATTAGTATTAGATCATATTTCCGAAGGTAGATTAGCTAACCTGTCCAGACATGGGCACTGATTGGTGCTAGTATAATTTTTTATTGCGGAGCAATGGCTCTTCGAGCCTACGAAAATTTCGTGTAATTGTTGAGGAGAAACATTCGGAAATACAGAGAAAGCCCTCTAAGTGCACACCCACCCTAAATGCACACCCACCCTAAATGCACGGTTTGACATGGTCCCGAGCTTGGGACTTAGTGATAAATGCACACCCCCTCTATCCTGCACGTGCAGTAATTTTTCGGTCCCATCTCTATAAAGTATTGTTCCCTAAATGCACGCACGTGATTAATATCTGTATTGACCAATCATATTATTACTATTCTCTTTGTAAATGGAAATTTAATCGCTTGTATTTTGTGTTGCACGCATAAGCGATGACCACTACAGCACTAAGGAAATGAATTGGGAACAACGGA